GTATAAAAGAGACATGAAAAGTTAAAAAAAAAACCCCAAAAAAAAACACCATGGCTTGGGTCAGGCACACTTTAAGTCCTTAAACTTATATCTTAGCTCTTTAACACTTTTAAAGAGGTCTTGTGCAGCAAATTTGCCCAGTGCAATACATCATTTGATTTCTTGACTGCTGCTTCCATGAATGTTGATAGTTGATCCAAGAAAAATGAAGTCTTTGACAACTTCAATCTTCTCTCCATTTATGTGGATGTTGCTTACTCGTCTAGTGGTGAGGACTTTTGTTTTCTTTACAGTGAGATGGAACCCATACAGAAAGGTCTTTGATCTTGATCAGTAAGTGTTTTAAGTCCCCTTTGCTTTCTGCAAGCAAGGTTGTATCATCTGCATGTTGCAGGTTGTTAATGAGCCTTCCTCCAATCCTGATGCCACATTTTTCTTCATAGAATCCAGTTTCTGGGATTATGTACTCAGGCTATTGACTGAATAAGAATAGCGAAAGAATACAATGCTGGCGCACAGCTTTCCTAATTTTAAAGCATTTGGTGTTTCCTTGTTCTGTTCAAACAACTGCTTTTTGGTCCATGTACAGGTTCCTCATGAGCACAATTAAGTGTTTCAGAATACTCATTCTTCTCAATCTTGTCCATAGCTTGTCATGATCCGTACAATCGAAAGCCTTTGCTTAATCAGTACAGCACAGGTAAACAGCTTTCTGGTATTCTGTGTTTTTGGCCAAGATCCATCTGATGTCAGCAGTGATATCCCTCATTCCCATGTCTTCTTATGAATCCGACTTGGACCTCTGGAAATTCTCTGTCAATGTATGGTTGCAGCCATTTTTGGATTATCTGTAGTAAAACTTTACTGGCAGGGGATGTCAATGCTACTGTTAAATGATTTCCACATTCTGTTGGGTCACCTCTCTTTGGAATGGGCAAAAATACAGATCTCTTCCAGTCAGTTAGCCTGGTAGTGTATTCAAAGTTTCTTGGCATAGATGAGTGAGTGCCTCCAGTGCTGCA